CCTCAGCCAGCTTTGCTGGCTGAGGAACTCTGGGAGTTGAAGTCCACAGGTCTTAAAGTGGCCAAGGTTGGAGACTGGCTGAGGAACTCTGGGAGTTGGAGTCCACAGGTCTTAAAGTGGCCAAGGTTGGAGACCACTGACGTCAGAAACTAAGCCAAAGGAGGAGAAAAGCGGAGCCGCCCACTCTGGGGAAAGGAAAACGCCGCCTCCCGTTGGGCGGCAGGGGGCGCCCGCGAGACTCCCTCCCCGTGGATGGAAGGGAAGGAGGGTTTTTTTTAAAGCGGGAGGGGCTGCCTTGCCCTGCGCTCGTCCCGGAGCTCAAGGTAGGCGGAGGGGAGGGGGATGCAGTCCTGAAGCCCCTCTGGGTGGAGTGGGGGGAAATGCACCCTCGGTGTTCAGCCCAGGGAGGCGGCGGGGGTGGCGGCCGCTGCTGATCGCTTCCTTCCTTGCATTAACGCCCAGCCTAGATTGACATGGGGGGGGGGAGAGAGACTGGGGGGTCCCCTTGCTCGGCGCTTTCTTTCCCGTGCAAAAATGAAGCATGGGTTTTGTAGTCTTGGCTTGCTTTGGAAGCCAGTGGCGGCTGGGAGTCAATTGCACGCGTTTAGCCAAGATTGCAAGCCCGGAGTTTCTGCGTGGGAAGTAGGCGGCTATATTATTTTTTCTATGCATGTGTGTCTGTGATACATACGTATGCAATGTGTCTGCACATGCATGCCTAAGCACGGACTCAAAACGTTGAAGCCGCCAGTGGGGGGCGCTCTCTAAATTGGTTTTTATGTGTATGAATATGTACATAAGGCGCGCCTATGCACCTGCATAAAAACACAGGCATAAAACATTTTATGTGTTGGGTGGCTGTAAATTCTGCTTTATATGCATCTTTTGTGGGTGTGCACACACAATCCTTGTTAACTTTACATCTGCTTAACTCTTTTATTATTTGGCCATGCATTGCATTGTGCACAATTGATCTTCCTGGTTCCTGTTGAGTGGTTGGTAGATCATTGCTGATCTCCTGAAGCCACATTCCTGATTTTGGGGGATGTCATCAATAAGTAGCAATAGCTATAGCAGTTGGACTTATATACCGCTTCATAGGGCTTTCAGCCCTCTCTAAGCGGTTTACAGAGTCAGCATATCGCCCCCAACAATCCGATAGATAGATAGATAGANGCTGTGTTGTATTTCCCTCTTCACAGTGCGCTGTGCGCCTTGCCAAAACGGTGGGCTACGTCAGTGCCGGGACAGTGGAGTATCTCTATAGCGAAGGAGGGAGCTTCCACTTCCTGGAGCTGAATCCCCGCCTGCAGGTGGAACATCCTTGCACAGAAATGATTGCGGACGTCAACTTGCCAGCTGCTCAGCTCCAGGTATTCCTGTCCTCAAGTCCGTTTCTCCAGCGGCAGTTCTGGAGTGTGTCAAAGTATGATCAAGGTGTCTCCCCTGCCGGTTCTTCAGATGGAGGAGAACTTGACTTCGTGTTGCAAATGAGCCCTGCGATTTCTTTGTGAGCCCCTTCAGAAGAAGCACTGAGACGTCCAATACATTCTTCCCTTTCCCTTTCTGTCTTTCCCTCCTCTCAGATTGCCATGGGTGTCCCGTTGCACAGAATCAAGGACATCCGAGCTCTCTACGGAGAATCCCCGTGGGGAGACCACCCCATCGCTTTCGAGGGCCCCAGCAATGCTCCCGTCCCCAGGGGCCACGTCATAGCGGCACGAATCACCAGTGAAAATCCCGATGAGGTCAGTCCAAGAGTCCCAACACTTGCCGTCTCTTCCTTTTAAGGAGTGCGAATGCCCGGAATGGTTGGGTGGGCTCTAGCTTGCCCTGCAAGACGGTAGAATCCTTTGATAAAAAGGGTGGCAAACATCTCTAAAACAGATATTGAACAAACCTCCCGGTTCTTATTTGTTTAAAAGTGTTTGTTCTGTGCCTGTTCTCCTGATTCAACTGATAACTAAAAATAATGAGCCTGGCTGAGAGTTTTAGTGCAAATATCTGATACAGGCAAAGGGAGGCAGTGAAAAAAAAACCCTGTTTATTTTCCAGTCAAGGCGGATTGAGATTTAAATAATTGCTTCCAGTTGCATCATCAAACTATTTGACAATCGCAGGTGACCCCTGAAAGGGAAGGGGGAAAATTCTGGTGCCTCATGGGTTTAAACGCTCACGAAGGAGACAATGTCTTAGCACCAGAACCTAGTGGGCCGGGAGAGGAGTTTCTACCTGCTCAGGTGCCGCCTCCCTTGTTGCTCTGGATCAGTGCCCAGGGCTGCCTGTGTGGCCCTTCAGGGTTCCAATGTGGCCTCGATTCTGCCAAAGGTGAGCAAGTCTGCCTTTCCTGCCCCCCCCTCCCCCCCCACCTTTACCTGTCTTTTGCTGCACCTTGCAGGGTTTCAAGCCCAGCTCTGGCACCGTGCAGGAACTGAATTTCCGCAGCAATAAGAACGTCTGGGGATACTTCAGCGTTGCGGCCGCGGGCGGCTTGCACGAATTTGCCGATTCCCAGTTTGGACACTGTTTCTCCTGGGGAGAGAACCGCGAGGAGGCCATCTCGTCAGTATTGCCTTCCCTCGGGCTTTACACGGGCGATGGAAACCTTGTGGGGGGGGGCGGGGGCTTCCCCAGGAGGCCCTTGGGACTCTCCGTTGCCCACCCCCCCATCCCTGGGTTCCACCTCCTGCTTTGCTAAGAAGAGCCAGTCACACATCCCAAAAGGAACCCAATCCTGTCAGCCCCCCCCCCCTTCCCTTTGCTGGGGCGTCATTTGCACAGACCCCCCTCCCCTGGGATTGAGAGAAACAGAGCAGGTTGGGACTTGATGCATCCGCTTGTCGGCTTTCAGAAATTTGGTGGTCGCCTTAAAGGAGCTGTCCATCCGCGGGGACTTCCGGACGACGGTCGAATACCTGATTAAGTTGTTGGAGACCGAGAGTTTCCAGACGAACGAGACGGACACCAGCTGGCTGGATCACCTGATCGCTGAAAAAGTCCAGGTAGGCGAGAATGCGGCAGATTTTTCAGGAACGGATGCTTGCGTCTCTCGAACCTTCTTTTCCACGCCGAGAGGCCCAAGTCCATATTTCCTGTTTTATTTGGATTTGCTCTCATGCTTTGCCTTGAAAGACTCATCCTCCATCTGTTGAGGTTTCCCAAACTGAAGCCAATTCTTCCTCCGTCGGCAGGCAGAGAAACCAGACACGATGTTGGCCGTGGTCTGTGGCGCCCTTAACGTGGCAAATGCCTCCTTCAGGACCTGCATGGACGATTTCCTGCATTTGCTGGAGAGGTAAAGGGTCGTCCTGGCATCCCAGTCCCTGGCCGTCTCATGCACCATCAGCAGGTCTCTGCGGGGCGGCCCCACAGGGCTCAGTGCTTTGAAATGCCTTCATTTCAGAGTTTCAGCAGTGAAGATGTGCTGTGGAAGGTGGTCTTCCTAATACCTAATGCCTGGCGTTATGTTCGCAAGGCACTCCGGGAGTTAGTTAGTTAGCAGTTAGACTTATGTACCGCTTCCTAGGGCTTTCAGCCCTCTCTAAG